CAACAACATTAGTAATATAATAAAATAAATAGATTATTCTATTATATTTAAAAGCCAATTGCAAAACAGTCCAATCACAAAATGGGCACAGGATATGAGTAGACACTTCACCAAAGAAGAAATTTGGATGGCAAACAAACACATGAAGAAATGTTCGAAATTTCTAGCTATCAGAGAGATGTAAATCAACAACTGTGAGGTATCATCTCACCCCAGTAACAACAGCAAAGTTCAACAGGGCAGCAAATAACAAATCTAGCGAGGTTGTGTAGAGATTGGAATTCTTATTTATTTCTGGTGGGAATGTAAAACGGTACAGTCACTATAGAAAGCAGTCTGGTGCTGTCTCGAACAGTTGGAAATAGAAATATTATTTGACTCAGCAATTCCACTGCTAGGAATATACCCTAAAGAAATCATGAATCAAACAGATGAACTCACATCCATGTTTATTTCTGTGTTACTCACAATAGCAAACAAATGGAAGCAACCCAAGTTCCCATCCACAAATGAATGGATATACAAACTATGGTACATTTACACAATGGAACATTAAACAGCATTGAAAAACAATAAATCCATAAAACATTACATAACATAGGGGAGCCTAGAAGTCAGTATGCTGAGTGAAATATTTCAGTCACAAGAGGACAAATACTGCATAGCACCACTGTTATGAGATAGGGCAGACATGAGGGGTGGGGAGAAAATGGGAAAGGAGTGGATAAAGAATAAACACTGCATTAGGACAAATGAGAGAAAGAACTGATCAAAAGGAATATATGATTAGGTATTATGTTCATGACAATAATCTGAGCCAAGGGGTGCATTGTGGTGAGGGACGGGAGAGGGAAAGAAAATAATGTTATTTTTAAAACATCAATTGCATTTTCTAGAAATTTATCATTCATACATCTATCTACCTTTTCTACAGTCCTATTGTGTCTATAATATAGATTTTAAAGAATATTCTTAAATTGTTGTTGTTATGTGCCATCAAGTCGTTTGCGACTCATAG